GAAAAAACTTGGTTATTCGAACACCTCAATTGCTAATAGTTGGTCGGTTCCTGGGTGCTCATTTCAAGGTTTCTTACTATTTTTTGCGTTGCTCGTCTTATCAGCTCCACCCAAGTGAGACAGTGTGTTGAGCTATACTTAAGGTGTCACTGCAGTAATCAGAACTTTACACCTTCATTGTTTCCTTGCAGCAGAATCAACCTACAATTTCATAAGCTTGCTTCGCATTTTGATCCCAGAAGAAACCATATTGGTTTAGTGTGTACGTATTTGATGTCAGAGCTTTTATATAATGTTATTTATAAGAACGAGATCAGGCTGACGCATATCGCAAGCGTTGCGTCCTGCTTTATTCTCGTATATAGGAAATTTCGTTTTAGGGGCGAAGCTCCTTATAGCGGCACCCGTTCGTCCCTCGTAGTCTGTAACAAGTATAACATTTTGACTTCCAAGGTGGTGCCGGTGAGAGACTTCTTCTGTGCGTTGTTGAACAATAAAAAATAGTGCTCAATATACATGTCAATGGCTGCTAATGGGGAATGAGAGACAGGAGAATTCGGCTTTTAGTTAACGCGCAGGCTGTGATCACCATTAGCAGCCATTAGCATGTACATTGAGCACTATCTGACAAGAAACGGTTGCTACGTTATACTCGCTGAGTGTAACCTCCTTAGCTTTAGAAAGGTTTAGCGAGCGTTGAGCAACAGTGCCATGAATACAATGAACTTGTATATACCATGAATGAACTCGAGGTGGTTAAAAATGGGAAGTAGATACGAAGCGCAAGCCGTAAGAAAGTAAAAGCCGAATTCTCCGCCTCTCATTTCCCATTAGCAGCCATTGGCATGTACATTGAGCACTATCTGACTGAAAAGGTTTGCTACGTCATACTCGCTGGACGTAACCTCCTTGGTTTTCGAAAGGTTTAGCGAGCGTTCGGCCGCAGTGCCATGAATACAGTGAACTAGTATATACCATGAACTCGAGGTGGTTAAAGGGGGGAAGTGGACCCGAAGCGCAAGCCGTAAGAAAGTGTGCGTGTGCCACCTCTCGTTTATTCCTTGGAATGTCCGCTGGATGGCGGTGCTTCTATATGGGGAATATATGATGAAAAGATGCGAGATGGTGGTACTTGGAGTGTTGAATAGATGGACGAACGGACACATAGACAGATGCATGGATGGACGCATGAACGGATGCAAGGGCGGCACATGGACGAACGCAGGGACGAACGCACGAACAGACGCACGCACGGACGGGCTGATGGACGCATGGACGGTCACACTGACGGAGGCATGGACGGACGGAAGCAAGAACGAATGGACTGACGAATTCTTCGCCCCACTCTCCATCATTCACTCCATGGATATGCTGCCATTTTTTATAAGCCAAGCTCTGAGTAAACATGTGATGCTGTTAAATGCATGACGGTTCAAATGGCAGTACATGTCACTGCAGCGCGTTGCTCGAAAAAGGCGTCACTGGTCAATATTTCTATCCGCCCTGTTTTGCCGGCGTTCGCGTATCGAGCAACGTTTTCATGATATAATGCGTTGCATTCTGGTCGAAAAAAAATACTAGAACAAAATCAACGCATTAAAAAACGTGAATCATCCCGGAAATGTTAACCACCAAGGTGACGTAACGCAATCGTCATTGATTAGAGGTTGCTTCATCTAACTGAAACTTGAATCTTTAATGCAACATCACAAACAGCAAGAAACTGAAGCTCACTGTAAAAAAAACACCCCCGAAAAAGGTGTGTTTAGGAAATAGCATCTATCACAGAACTGCTGCAACTTTTGTAACATGATTTCTTATCGCTGAGGGAATATAGCGGAACAGTGTCGCGCGCATGTCATTCTTCTTTTTTTTTTGGGGGGGGGGGGGGGAGGGGATCAGCCGTTTTCATTTTAACTATGACCCCAATGAAAGAGCCCGTAGAGTTTTCTCAGACTATTTATGTGCCTGCTTTTCCTGTTTTTGTCAAGTAAGAGGCCCAGAAAGAAACAGAAAGATCTTTCGTGTAGTAACAATTGTGCTTCGTGAATTTGCTCATACATGCGCCAACTGTTGCTGCACTATAAAGTTTCTTAATTAGAAGTGTGCTTTATAAGATGTATAGGGGCTTTTATGATATATTGGGTCAATCTAGGCTATAGGTACCTCACGAATAAAGTAAACACAGACCTGAAAGAACCCATGCATGTGGGTTATGGAAGAAACTGGACCTCGGCGTAAGCTATGGTCACTTTGCATTAGAATATTCAAACCAACTTTTTAAACATTTTTCTAAGCACTACAAGTGGACAGGATTACAAAGCCCGGTGGTTTGAAGCACAACCAGCTGGAAGTGTCAATTACTGTCTTATCCGCTGACGAAGTCAAATCAATGGTGACGTGTAAAATAGACTGCGCATGACGGAAACAACCAACAGCTCGTTCATGAAGTAAAAGCTTTCCTAACTCTCTGTGATCACCTGGTGCATGCTCAAAAAGTAACTTTGAATAACCCTGGAATTTATACCTCCAATAACTGGCAGAATATAAGGTGTTTTTCTAATTTTTGGTAGCCTTTATCGCTAGTCTATTCAACTGGTTATTCAGGGTCTAAAAATAGATGAACAGAAACTTTTTATGTGTATTTTGTGCTAACCAATTGAACTTACTGATATATAAGTAACCAATCACTGGTACTTCTAATATAACATATGCCCATGAAGTATACCTATGAACTGTCTCAACTGCATAGCGAGACTAGCGAAAATTAAGGTAGGCCACTAAGGTATAAGTCATTATTGCTGTATCTTTAAAGCTGATCAGTCATTTTATATATTTAACAATTAGGCAGAAAAGAACCAGCTTTTTTTTTACAACAGTAAGCATGTGAATGTGCAGAAAAGCGTACAAGTGCTGTGTGTATTTAAGTTTTGAGGCCGTTTACCGTGTCTTCGCATGATGCCCCTCCTGTACAGAATATGGTACGCAGGCCAGAGTTCGCAGTCCAACGGATTAAAGCAACCTACAATGTGTTTGTTTTGCACAAAACAAAATAATATAAGTTAGTTATCCAAGTCACCTATAAAGTCTCCAAAACACCGTAGGGACCAGCTCACAGACAGTGATACTGGCATCCATCTTCATAACTAGCGAAACCATTATCAGTTATTTTTGAGATAACGCATAAATTTTAGCCATGGCCCAAAAATTGTTAGTTGGCATATCATTTCATTCCTTCATTTGATATATGCTTTCTTTAAACATTGGTTTTATGAACGAGCCACTGTCTTCGGTTGATAATAATTGTGCCTCAGTTGATATCAATAAATTTTTTGGACCACTTATTACATTATATCTCTAAATATTGGTATTGTACCATTTATTCAACGCCAGATCGTAGCGTTCTTCAGCACATTACAAAATCGCTATGGACACTTGTGAAATAGGTGAATTAAGGGGGTTTGCATCTAAAAAAACATTTGTGCATCTGAAGAACACTGCGTATCTTTACTGTGGTGTTGATATTTCACAAGAAAATTAGTTATTCTCATGCAGAGACACATAAAGGTACATATGTAAACATCACAATAAAACAAAAAGTACTGCAGAAACAGCGTTTTATTTGCATTATAGCTTCTTAGTTTTACTCATGTTCGTGTTGGCACGACGAGTTTTTTTGTTGTTGTTGCTATGAACGTCTGCCAAGTTTCTCTACCGGCAGTTTTCTGACCTGTCTAAAGTTTTTTCAAATGGAATCGTTTGAAATACTGAAGGACAATAAGGAAGAAAATGTAACAAAGTCGGCCAAGCTTTTAAAAATATCTCTCTCTTTTTTATTACGGTCACCAAAGTATATCACACTAGGCGGCGGTTTCGAAAGTTTTCTCTGATCTTTTGCGACGCAATAAAATTAATGAAAAAATTAAACACTAATCGTTCATTTTATGTACATTGCAAAAACAAAAATTTGGGATATGTTAAGCTATGTTTCGCAGCTTAACCTTCACATACCAAGTTTAACTGTAGGCCTAATTGCTTTTGCTAAACAAGTGCTGACAAGAATCAACTTACAATAATCAGATACTCAATCAGGTATGACAACTTCACTGTTTTGCAGTATAGAACTAGCTCTAAATGCTTTAAAGTTGCAGGCGATGTGCTTTCCTAAACTTTAGGTGCATCGCAGGCTTCGAACACACCTGATACTCGAAGTTGCTTTTGCTCAACGACGGTCACGAGAAGCGTCGGCCTGAAGATGTAGCTGCAGCGGTGACCACAAGAAGGCGAAGAGAAAAAAAAAGCATAACAAGCGGGTGGACATGGACTGCAACACCACAAACACTATAGTGAATTCCGATCGTGAGGTGTATGCTCATGTGTTCTGGGATAATTTCTGCGTAGCCGATAACATTGAGCAGAATATTTATTCTTCTTTGTTCCAGGTTTCTTTTGTTTTGCTTTTCAAGTGTGACTTTTGCGCACACAATATCACGAACTGCATTGCCAGGCCCTACACGTAAAAGTTTTCCGCAATTAAAATTCAATCTTATCTGAAAATTTCGATGTCTATGTAAGAATGTAAGTTCGATTCATATTAGAAATTCACTCGAACAAGCAGTGATTTTCATCTTCTGCCTTTAGCAGCCTAAACTGCTAAGTTTGAATTAGGCTATCATATAATTTATTTTGTTTAGAGTGTTCTGTTGCGACATAAATGCTAATGCCCGTACTTCTATTTTGCGATATTATTCGCATCAAATATGCGCTGTGATGAAGAATATGTGTGCCCTCCTAGTTATTTTATATTCCCACTAATGATTTCGGGCTGAGACTGTTCATAAGAGAACACTGTTGGTAATTCTGACACTGGAGTAATATTAGTGAAGATAGCGGGAAGTTGTTAAAGAACACCTAGTAAGAACATTTCGTAAATTCACCCCACACCTATGATAGAAACAAGCACGTTTCGAAAGGAAGTCACAAAACGAATACGCACTTACGGGGCACCTGATAGAGGTTGGCAGCAGGCACAGGCGTGGGTATTACACGCTTCACTTTAGAGTAGGTCTCTTCATCTCCGGGAGGCTGCGTAGGGACATGATGGACCGCATAAATGAATTGAAAAGGAAGAAATTTTATCTTTTCGTGAACAGACAATAACAATGCACATACCATTCATACACGATGCAGAGACGATAAAGTATGTGTGCGTAGCCGAAAAAAAGTAGACAAGAGAGAGAGAGAGAAATAAATAAAGTAAGAGAAGGTTGACCTAGAACTGGTTTGCTACCCTGTACGGGTGTGGGGAAAAGGGTCGGCAAGAAGATAGAGATAGAGAGATATAAAATAAATAGAAAAAATTCACATGCGCAAACATTCAGGAGTTCCAAAACAGATAAGACGAGTTGAACAAGGAGCAAGAAACAATTCAAGATACTGTAGACACCAATGAACAATTGATAAGGAGTCCGTCTCGGCGTAACGTGGATATACGGTGCTCGGCTGCTGTTTTCAAGGTTGCGGGTTCGATCCCTGATTGAGGTGGTCGTATTTTGATAGACGTGAAATTGTAGAGCGCCATGTACTGTGCGATGTCAGTGGACGTCATAGAACACCAGAAGGTCAAAACTTCCGCAGCCTCCACTATTCCATCAGTAATAATCATGTAGTGGTTTTGGACTTAAAACCTTACTAATATTATTAAAAATTGCAAAGGCACACAACGGCGGAAAAGAAAAGAAGGTAAGAAAACTTACCTGCAGATGCCAGTACAATAGGCTAATATATCAATCTATCACGTGAGCGGGTCTACGTGTCCGATAACTTTAAAGCGTTTGATGTTTTTTTTCTTGCAAGTTATTAGATGGTTCACTCATGGATGTGCTACCACTAATATTGATATCCCATAAGGCTCACACGTTACACGTGGTTCCTCTGTGTTGTGATGGGACAAAATTATGCATTCATCGAACTTCGGCGTTAACTTATACTCCTGGAATATACAGAAATATTACGAGGTGCACTTTCGGTAGTGATATATTATGGTTCAATTCATCATCGTCATCATCATCAGCCTGACCACGTCACTGCAGGACAAGGAGCTTTTCCATGACCAGCCAATCAACCCGGCCTTGTGCTTTCTTCTGCCACGTTATACCAGCGAACTTTTTAGTCCCATCGGCCCACCAAGCTTTTTGTCTCCCTTCTTGCGTTTGCCTTCTCTGGAAATACAGCCAATTACCCTTATTGACCAGTGCCTATCCTGCCTACGGGCCCGGCCCATGTCCATTTTCTCTTCTTGATTTCAGCTATGATATCCTTAGCCCCCGCTTGTTCCCTAATTCACTCTGCTCTTTTCTTGTCTCCTAAGGGTACACCTATCATTTTCCTTTCCGTAGTTCCCTGCGTCCTCAATATAAGCTAAACCTTCTTTGTAAGCTTCCGGGTTTTAGCTTTGTGGGTAAGTGCCGGCAAGGTGCAGCTGTTATATACCTTTCTCTTGAGTTTTAGTTGCAGATTACTATGATTGATTTAGAATGCTTGCCGTATGGGATCCACTTCATTATTATTCATCCAGTTATTTCAATCTCATGGTTCCGCTCCGTGGTTACTACCTGCTTTCAGTAGACATATTACCTTACAACTTCCAGCGTCTCTCCACCTATTGATGTAAGTGCTTATTCTACCGAAAGTGCTGCACATCACTTTATCTTTCTGCATATTCATTTTCAAATGTATACTGTTCTGCTTTCCGTGTTAAGCTCGGTAATCATGAGCCGTAATTCATCAATTCATCCCTTGATTGAAAGCAATGTCATCAGTAAATCGCAGGTTACTAATATACCCTCAATTAACTCTTATTCCTAACTCTTCCCAACCTAGGGCCCTGAAAACCTTCTGTGAACATGCGGTGAATAACACTGTTGAGATTGTGTCTCCCTGCCTTACACCCTTCTTTATTGGGGGTCTGTCGCTTTCTTTATGTAGAACTATGGTGGCTGTGGATGCACTGTAGATTTCTTCCAGTATGTTTATGTATGGTTTGTAGATCCTCTGATTCCGTAGTGCCTGCATTACTGCTGTCTCAACTGAGTCAAACGCCTTCTCGTAATTTATGAAAGCTTATGTGTATAGGGGTTGGTTGTATTCTGCGCATTTCTCTATTACCTGATTGATAGTATGAATATGATCTACTGTGGTGTAGCCTGTATGAAATCCTACTTGGTTCTTTGGTTGACTAAACTCTTATGTCACCCTGATTCTATTAGCTAATATTTTCGTAATTAGTCCGTAGAGAACGGACAGTAAGCTGATCTATATATAATTTGTCAAGTCTTTCAGTCTTGTTTCTTAAGGATTAAAATGATGTTGGCGTTCATCCAAGATTCTGGTACCCTTCACGTCAAGAGACACTTCGTATACAAGGTGCCCAGTTTTTCTAACACAATATCTCCACCATCTTTCAGCGGGCCCGCTGTTACCTTATCCTCAACAGCGGCTTTGCCTGTTTGCATTCCTTCTAGGGCTTTCCTTCCCCGGTCAATACTGAAAGTATGTCAAATTCCTCTGATCTATTATTGCTTCTTACGATATCAACCTGGTTGCTTCGGCTTCTCTGCAGCTTTATCTAGAACTCCAGCGCCACCCCAACTATCTCATAGATATTGGTTATGACATTGCCTTCCTTGTTCCTCAATGCATACATCCGACTTTCGCATTTGCACAAGTTTGCCTTCACAGCTCTTAGGCTTCTGCCGCTTGTTACAGTCTGCTTGGTTCTCTACACATTATACCTTCTGATGTCGGCTACCTTACGCATGGTTTACCCTCGCGACACTCTGAATCACACACGAAAAAAGGCAAATGGAAGGCTTAGAAAGACACATGGAAGGCACACGGAAAGCACATGATTGACACGGGCCTCGCGATTGTCAACCATGTACAACAAACTAGCGCCTATGCTGGCGCTTTCACCTTACGCCTAATGAATATGAAAGCTCCGCTATCTTATTTCGTTGATTGCATTTGATGGTTTCCTGATTTGTCATCTCTTAATAGGATTTTTGTCTCCTGGGATAGTTTGCCGGTGTCTTGTTATGCGAATGTACCTCCGACTTCTATTGAACACTCTTTGAATATTCTAGTAAGATTATCGTTCATTGTGTCAACGCTACATCGGTTAGCTTGTTTAGAGCCTTCAACCTATTCAGAAGCAAAACTCCTAATTTTTGTACTTGCCTCTCACAACTGGGGTAATAATGGTCTTCTTGTGTATAAGTTTATAATGGTTTTTATTATTCTAAACGAATATGAGCTTTTATCGTTCTACGATCACTGCATCAGACTTCGCCTAATACTTCTAAATCTTGTACAATGCCTGGGTGGGCACACAGAATAAAGTTTATTTTATTTTTAGTTTCGCCACGCTCACTTATGATCAGCCAGTTTTCTGAAGAAGGTATTCAAGATCCGTACGTGATTGCGTTCTGTGAACTCTAGTAATAACTCCCCTCTGACATTTCTACAGCCGATGCCATATTCCTCCATTACATGGTCTCCGGCCTGTTCTAATTATCTCTGGTTAACACTGTGGCACCTCTGGCCTAGGCAAAAGTTTCCGGGGGTGAAAGTAACCTTATAGACCACACCTGTATGGCAGTCAGTAAATTTGTTGATGTGTTTTATGAAAAGAAGGTGGCCCGGTTATTGTCTATTACTTACTCATTCTTTTAGGTGCTTGCTCGGCAAGCTTGTTATGCTCACGCCTTGCCTGGCTGCGGCGCTGGCGTGTACACCAGTGTTGTCAGTGCACACTTCTCCGGTCACTGTTAACGGCGTCCTCTCCGCGGATTCCAACAATGCTCACTAGAAGGCCCTGCTGCCACCCAAGGCGTCGGTTTTCGATGGCCCGCGTGGTCGCCTCTTCGCAACAACGTCCAGTCACGTTCTCGTCGCTTTCTAGGCACTGCAGCTCGTGACAAGTTCCCTACGATGAGTGTTCACGCACGGGCACCGATATCCTCTTAAGCGCCCTCACCTGCCTGCCCTGAAACTCCGTTGAAGAAAGCCTGATAGCTCCACGTCTGCCATTCATGAGCAGTTAGGCATTTGACTCACGGCAGCGGCCGTTATGTCATGAAAGGGCATGTAGTTAACGTGCCGATAGACGCAGCCAACACTGTGCAGCGCCGGCCTCGGAACGTGCCCGACAACGCTGCTTTTGACATGCATATCATGTGGCGGCTCGTTAACAAGCCTCCCTGCACAAGTAGTCTCGCCAAGAAACGCTCCATGCACCTTTGAGCTAGCTTCTCTAACATCCATCAATTTGTGGATATGGCGATTACTATTTTTCATATCACGACCCTCACTCATTTTGGATGTCTTAGAAGAATATGGCGATTGCGGTCTTTGAAGTTTCGGTTTCGGTTTTTCGAACTTATTCTTCTACTAAGATAACGAGCGGCTGCTTCTGTCAAATTTCAAAGTGCCAATGGACTCTCCACGAGAATGGCTCTGACGGTCGCATTTGTCTAAAACACCTGGTATCAATACATATTAGGCCATATATTTTATTTTATTTATTATGGCCTAATTGATGTGTCCAGCTATTTTAAGATTTCAGCCACAGCAGAAAAGTAACTATGAAGGTGGCGAGCAAATATTCCATCTCTCATACTTTCGAGCATTCTCTCATGCTTTTCTTGAAACCTTCTTTATACAAAACCATGTATGAGTTTGTGGAGGAAAATGCTTGCAGCTATGAATTATGTGTCGTTAAGCGAACCGAATGCAGCATATTGCCTTCGAGATTGTTTTCTTAGCTATTCCTAACAGCGCTGATTGTGCAAGGTGTTCGTTTGGCTTACACTACGTGGGGGTAGGAAAGAAAGCCATACAAATAAGATATATTCGAAACGCTCAACACGTTCAACAAAGAAAACAAAGGAATGAGGAGCCGCTAATAAAAAAAATAGCACAAAGTAACGCCCGCGCCGCCTGTCAAGTGCAGGCGCGACTTTTGCGTGGGTAGTGCTGCGGTTGTTCTAATATTGGAGCGCACTCTCAAGCGCCGCATTTTATTT